CCCCCCCGTTCATCCTCCTCACCCGTACGTGACGTTCGAGATCATCTTGAGGGCGAACTGTCGAGCGTTCAGCGTGCGCGCCAGCACCCTCTGCCCGGCTCCCTCGGCCCTCCTCATGGCCCCCTTGATCATCACCCGGGTCTCCAGGATCTCCCTCAGCATGACGGGCAGGATCCCCTGCCTCAGGGACGGATGGCAGAACCCCGCCGTGTTCGGCGCCAGGTGTATGCACCGGGGATCCCACCCTGGCATCCCCTCCCTATCCCGCGATCGAGGTGGAAACCCTTCCCCTCCGTGGTCATCGCTGGGTGTAGAGCCTTGGGTATCGCCGTGCTTGGCATCATCCTCCGGGTGTGGTGATGATCTCGGCTCCGCCTCCACCGCCGGCCCTGTCGGAGTCTCCATTGTTGGGTGCGTCGCAGAAGACGCCGGCGACCTTGCCGCCACCCCCGCCGCATTCGTCGGGGTTTCCTCCTCGTCTACGGGAGACAAGCACGACAGCGGCGGCTGCTGTGAAGCCCCTCTGCCGGCGGCGAGAGGACTCCTTGTGCTGTTGCGACGACGGCGACGCTGCTGCTGCTGCTGCTGCTGCTGCTGATGATGATGATGATGGTCGTTGGACCGCCCGTCGCGCTTGCGCCAGGCCTGGTGCGCCTCGGCCGCTCTCTCGAGGGCCGCGGACGTGTTCGATTCCGGGTACGGTAAGGCTCCGAGGCTCCCCGAAGTTCCGCCGGTCTTGGGGTCGAACTTTCCCAGAATTGTCGTGTAGCACAGGTTGTAGGCGATCATCATGGACGGGTAGAGCGACTGCGGGAGACAAGGGGGTGGGAGGTGAAGGCGCGCCGCGAAGTTGTAAACACTGCGGCCTATGTGGAGATCAAACAGCGGCGCCGGCTTCACCAACCGGTGAGCACCTCGACCCACGAGCGCATGAGCAATGCGCTCGGCTGAACGAGAGAGGTATATATAAGCCAAGCTCGGCATACAGTGTGCACGCAGTCGTTAATGGTGGTGCGAATGCAAGCGTCGAACGGCACGTGTGATACAAAACAATTAGTTTTCCCACGGAAGTGCTGCGAGAGTAGACAAGATAAAGACACATCCCAGAGTTCTCGGTGCGACTGAAGAAAACTATTGCCACCGACGATCAGCGAACAGAGCGTGGCAACAGACACCTTGTGCCACACACCGTTTCCCCCCTTCTTCCCAACACCATTATCGAAAATACAAGAACAGAAGTTCACATGTGCGTCGAGAGGGGGTCAAACATTTCCCCATGCAAAACCATCCTTACAGTAGAGGTTGGATTGGAAACGGGTGGGATTACCGTTCCCCCTCTCCCAACCCAAAACAATACTCATTCGTAGGTCATTCGTACGCATGTAACATGCACGCACCTGGAAATCCAAAACGACTACTGGAGACGTGTAGAAGCGGCTCCGCGGCTCGAAAACTAGGGGGATGCTTTCCATCGCTGCTTGGCCGGCGACCTGCTGCCGGGACGGGCTCACGGCGACAAAGTTGTGCGGTTTGAGCACTCTGTGAGCCACGCGTGAAAATCGACACGGACAAAGAGAGGGAGGGAAAGAAGACAAGAGATGTAAAATTACTGAGCTTCTGGTACTGTTCCAGAGCAACAGCGGATGAAGGCAGCAGCAACATCACCCCGCTCCGCCGCCGCTGCCGCCGCTAGCAATCGCCGTGAAAAGTTGGCCGATAGGGAAAAAAGTAAGACGGCCGTGTTGGTTGCAATAGAACCAGACGTTTCTTCGTCAGGGAGGACCATCCATGGGAGGAAGGTATCATTCACATCTACCTGCTGCAGCCAGCATCCTGTCAAAGTGTGTTGTAGCAACAACAGTCGACGACATGAACGCCATGCAGTGATCAGAATTGTACCGAAACAGCGTGATTGGACCTTCATCGCAACGTGGCTCTTTGAGTCGTGGTGAAACATAGCTCTCTACGGACAGAGGTTTCTGACCTTCTCCGCATATGTTCAACAAAAATACATTTAAGTATTAGCGATTTTTCACGAGCTGTGAGTGGGCCACTCAATGACAACTTGACCCGACAAGTGACGTCTCTGATGCGGTGCATCACCAACTCGCGTCGCACTCGTGTCTACAAATTCAAGTGTCGATCTCACGCACAGGTCGCCCTCGCTAATTTCTATTCGATTTCCAACAAAAACAGCGCCGCCCAACATCGTCGAAACTGCAGCAAGATCATACAAAAAAAAAAACAGAAAGCGCGCCTGCTGGTGCCCTGCTGTTTACCTGAGCATTACCGCCTCGACGCGGTACTGAGACCCTCTGGATAGCACGCTGAAAAAGTCGATCCCGAACAACCTCGCCATCTCCGACGTGCGTCCCAGCAGGTCGAGCTTGTCCATGATCGAGAGGCATGCCTGACGCCGGGGGGGGGGGGTACTCATAGTCGTGCATGTCGTAGTCGTTAGACCATTGACCTCGCATCCCTACAAAGCCGGGACGGAGCACGCCGGGTTCTCACCGGACCAGGCTCTCACATCACCAAGCGCGAAGCGCCGTGAGATATTCGGCGAGTCGCATGAAGGGTGCGCTGCATCCTGCTAAGGGTTTTCGGCATCTCGTGCTTACTTCCTTGCGTACGGATGACAGCTGCGTATAACTTTGTTTATTTTCTGGTGCTTTCACTTCCAGAGACAGTTGTAAGCACTGTGTAACTGCCTCGAGGGTGCTTGACCATTTTAACACAACGTGGTGCGATCATCCCCCTTGCGCGGAGTGAGGGTTCTCCACCCCGCACAACATGATCTACTCGACCACCATTATGGTTACCGCAAAAAAAAAAAACGGAGGGAAAAAAAAAAAACGGTAACCTGGTTGCCGAGTTCACGAAGTGAATTGGCTTGTTTTACAACGTCGTTGCCAAGCGACGAAAACCCAACCCCGATGGCAAACACCGAGGGGGGGTCCGGGGGGGGTCGATTTCTGTAGTCCCACCGCCGACGGCACCATAAAGAAAACACGCAGCCGGGTAGGGGGAAACGGGCTTTCTGACTCGCTTTCGCCTCGAGATGCTTGAAAAAAGCATGCATCATACATAGTCGGAAACGGGGGAGGAGGTTTCTAGTCCCAACTCCCAACGGGGTCGCTTGAACCACTTTCGCTACATGCCGTCTGTACCGCGACACCGGCAGGGGGTGGGGGGGGGGAGGAGGTCCATCGATTGCGAAAAAAGGGTGGGTTTTGCGGGGGGGATGTACACGCAGAATGAGGCAGGATGCCATCTGTCGGCTGCGCGGTCTATGGGTTGTGGGTCGCACGTGGTGGTTACGTGAGAACTTTTTCGGGCTCTTTTGGAACGTGCTTCGATGACATGTATGTACGTTGCCGAAACGGATGTTGTACGTCTAAACGATACCACCAGCTTCGCATACCCCAAGGGTAACGCAGCAAAGCGAGACTGCTTATGAGAAGCCCACACAGCAGCAGCGTCCCTGTGTTGTGGTTGGGAGCACACGGTGTACTCCGCCGCGACTTGTCGTTGATGATCAGCTCTTTGCAAAAGCAGAGCGAAAAACTACGAGAAAGAAAAACAAGTGGCATGCATATTATGGGCAGATGCCTAAGGGTACAACAATAACCCGAAGGCGGCCGCCAACGACAACAAAATCAACAGACAAGCAACAGACAAGCAGCTGCAGCTGCAGCAGCAGCAGCAGTCGCAGCAGCGAGATAAGGGAGAAGACGTAACATAAGGGCACGTGATTTGCCAATTCTTACTGGAACACCCGTCGGGTGCGAGAGAACCCAACCTCACCGTTGCCCGGCCGAGGGGGTCCGCGAGCGCGCGAGACCTACCCGCCACGTTCCGCCCGGCAAACCAGCGAGACCGAAGCTGAAGGCCGAAAGACGGGATGCGCTTTCGCAAGACGTGTTCCGCAACGCTCTTATCAAGATCCACACATCCAGCCGTAGATTTATCACCGAGTCCGTCGTCGAGGGGAGGTTGTCAGAAGGGGGGGCAACGGAAGAAGTAGAGGGGGGGGAGGGGGGGAGCGACAGCACGTTGAGTCGGCGGTGGGAGTTATGAATAATAGTGGCCTCTTCCACTTGTAGACTTTCCAACAAAATGCTTGTGCTTGTCTGTCAGCGGCCCGCTGGATATGTGGCGCATGAAGGTGTCAGGAGAAACTCTGCTGTTCCCAATCACGAATGGCACACATTCCGTCGACTAACAGAAATCGAACTGCCATCCATTGAGAACATGCAAGCACTCAGCGAATCGATTGACCTTCATTAGCAGACGACGACAAAGCTAAAAACGGCGTAGCTTTTGAAGCATTCGCACATAATCAAGGGACTTTTTTGGAGCGACCACATCGGTCGGCGTGCACCGAACACTTCGCACAAAGCTTCCCGCCCACCCCGTCCTCGCTATCATCGCCAGCGAACCACAAAACAACCACCCAAGAAAAGATATTGCCGTGGTTTGTCCCTCCCCGATGTGTACCCTCCACCCTCACACCCTCCCTCCTCACACCTGAAGCGTGTACGAGCACAGCTTGAGCTCGGAGCGCATGAGGCGCCACATGTTGAGCACCGTGCGGCCGGTCAGCCAGATGCCGGAGCCGTGTGTCTTCCCCCACTCATCGCGGGCGTTCCGCTTGTCGGCGTCTCGCCCGGGAGTCCTAGACAGCAGGCGGGTCATGTCCATGGAGGGTTCCTAGATCGAAAGGGCGGGAGGAAAAGGGGGGGGGG